TTTTTTTTTAGAATATTTTATATTTTTTTATTTATTTTATTTTCTTCTACATACCTCGTCCCTTCAGGGCGTTGGCAATCATGGCTCTTCATCACCTCCCATCATTTCTATCCCTTGGTTAAGTTTGGCCATTTACCAAACCTCCCGCCCCAATTTCTCTTGCTCTTGATATGCCCTATGAGTTTCAAATTCTCTAAGCCCTGCTTCTTTATTCTATGTTAAATCTATTTCAGCTGATTCTGATTCTATAAGTGTGCGTTTTGTTTAACTTTGTCTTAAATCTTCTTCGTTGCTTACTCGTTTCGTCCATAGAATTCTCAACATCCTTCTGCAGAACCACATCCATCCGGCCTCCAGGTTTCTCTTCATCTGCTGAAGAGATTGTCCAGTATTCACTGCCATACAAGAGAATAGATATAACAATTTCTTAAAACTTGAGGAGACACGTTCTTAAAGTTTTTTCCTTTACTTCTAATTCCCAGCTTAGATATATTTTAAGAAACCTCTTTATCGTTCAATAATTATTGCGAATCTCCTTTGATATCTCCAATGTGGACATTCCGTCATTCAATAACTTTGTTATTGCCTCATTTTCAGCATGTCTTAGATTCTTTGCATTACCCATGTGTCAACATATATTACGGAAAAAAAGAAAAACTTAGTTTTTATTATAGTTCAGAGGCCTTAAAATATTAGTTTAATCTGCATAATAACCTCAGTTTGCAGTTTTTATAAGTCCAATAACGTTAATAAAACACGTTGAAACTACCTAAAAATTTAACTCGAACTTTGTTTTGTTTTGTTTTACGGCATATAAACCTCAATGGGTTATTTAATGTCGACAAGATTTTTATTGCTGGTAATATTTTTCTCAAAAATGTATTGATGCTAATATTTTTTTCCAAAAGTATATTGCTGATAATATTTTGTCTTCAAAAATGTACTGCTTTTAATATTTTTTCTTCAAAAATGTATTGCTGGCAGTATTTTTTTCTTCAAAAATACATTGCTAGTAATTTTTTTTTTTCAAAAGTGTATTGTTGGTATATTTTGTTTTTCTTCAAAAATGTATTGCTGGCAAAATTTTTTCACTTTAAAAATGTATTGCTGGCAATATTTTTTCCTTCAAAAATGTATTGCTGGCAATATTTTTTTCCTAAAAAAATGTATTCCTTGTAATAATGTATTATTGGTAATAATTTTTTCTTCCAAAATTTATTGCTGGCAAAATTTTTTTACAGAAATGTATTGCTGGTATTAAAACCTATTTTTCCACTTTTATAGTGTTTTGACCTCAGTTTAGGAGTTAACTATTTACCCATAACTGGGACCCTAAAAGGTGCTACCACCCCGAGCCAGGATGGACCTGAGAACATCAACAATTAAGGGGTAGTTCCACGCTCCTCGAAACCTCCTGATTAGAGGCCTGTCTGTTGGACGTAGTTTATCGTCTTATTCAGGACGACTCGCGTTTTGTTTTGACGTCTAAATTAATAGTTTCATTTTTGACAAATATTTATCAGCGGAACTTTGAGTGTTTGCGGTCTTTGTGATTTGCATAATAACTTCAGACGGACTGTAGATTTAATAACCGCGTACCTAACGTACTTACTGTATACTTAGTGAACACTGCTGAAATAAAATAAAGCTTTCTCGCTAATTAGTTTTACTGTGGCTTTATTTTGAAAAAAAAAACAAAAAAACCCGGAGAATCACGAAACTTCACGCAGTTTTTCTTGGGTTACGGTGTGACTTTATAATAACTGTCTTTCATGTCTCTCTGTTACCACACGCCATCGTTTCGTGAGACTAGTTTATAACTAAATTCATTTCACAACATGTCAGGAAATACGAATTCTTGAATTCAATAATTCAAAGGATGGATTTACACATAAAAAAACAAAACAAAGAAAAAACACGAAAGTTTGAGTACATAGCGTGATTATTCAATGCAAGGTAAAAAGTTTGATTGGAGGTGTCCATTGGAAAGAAAAAAGATTCCTTTAAAGACCTTTTTCCTTGAATTTCAAGCAACTCTATGGAAGATAATGTCTTTAGAGAACGCGTGGAAAATGAAGGCATTTTATTGAAAGGTTGAAGAAAACATTGTCGAAAGCACGAATAGATTTTGTATGTTGGATTTGAGAGATTTTATTCATGAATTTTGTAAGGAAGGCATTTCCTGAAATTAATCAAAAAGTTAAATATTAGAGAACTAGGGAATTATTATTTGGAGAAAGGACAGAAAAAGAGACAGTCTAAACAACCAAGAATTGAAGAGAGATCTCATTGCGAAAGAAAGAAAGATTAGAAGAAAGAAAGATATAAGGATAAAGAGAAAGAAGTAAAGATTAGAAAAAGGATTAAAAGAAAGGAGGACAGACTGAAAGAAAGGTTACAAAAGGAAAGACAGAGAAAGAAAAAATGCTTAAAAGAAAGAAAGAGTCAAAGAATTGAAGGAAGAAAGCAAACAAGAAGAAAGTAAAAAAAAACAAAAAACAAAACAGAATGATTAAAGGAATGAAAAAAAAAACAATTTCAACAAAGTTTGAAACAATGTGAGAAAAGATTAAAAGAAAGAGAAAAAGAAAAAAAAAATCCCACAAAGATTTAAAGAAAGAAAGCAAAGAGAAAAAAGAAAGAAAGGAGAGAAGGAAGCAGAAAGAGTAAACGAATGAAGAACCAAAATAAAGCTTGAAAAAAAAAAAAAAAAGAAAACACAGTAATAGAAAGAAACATTGAAAGTAAGATTCAAAGAAAGTATGAAAGAAAAAAGATTGAATGAAACATTGAAAGAAAGAAAAAGAAAATGAAAGAAAGGGAATAATCCATCAAGTTAACATTCTTATTGTTGACCTCAGCTACAAGTGACAAACACAAAAACAGCTATTTTTCTTCCGGGAACACTCAAAATATTTTCCTATAAGAGCTAATAAAAAAAAAAATCTTTGTTCATTTTACTATATTTGGTCTGTAAATTTAGTTTTTGGAAACTAAGCTATACCTGTACATAGTTATCTATCGTATAGTTAAATTCCCAGATGAAATAACGACATGAAAAAAAATAAATAAATAAATAATAATAATAATAATAATCCCTTACTATAAAGGTAATTTACACTAACCAAAAAAAAAAAAAAAAAAAAGCTTAGACACAAGCGTCTATCTTTTTAAATTTGGATTTTTAATGTAACTATAATAACAAAAACATTTCGATTTCATTTTTGCCTTGAAAAAGTCGGAAGACGAAACGCGTCGGCAAAATGTAAGATTTTTTTCCAATTGTCATTTGATACCATATCTATCGTAGTTATTGCATTTTTTTTTGGCTACACATGATATTAGTATTAGGCGCAAATCATACTAACATCATTACTCATAGATAATTATAGTCATTTTATCGTTTTTAAATAGTATTTAAGGAAAATAACATGAAGACAAATTCAATATTAAAAGACAGGAAAATTTCAATGGTATCAAATCGACAAACAGAGACCGTATTAAATGTAAAACCAATTTTCATTGGCTGATTTCCAAAACGAGGCAGACCAATACAAAGGTCGGCCAAATGTTATGGATTCAACCAAGAGATGTGGAGAAGCTGGCCAGGAGGTGATCTATTCTGGTTAAATCGCCTGGAAGAGGGCTTCTAGTGACTTTAGAGACCCCAAGCAACTCAATGACGCCAGGAAAAATAAAACATAACAGATGGAGCTTCCCTGGGAATCGCAAGTGTGTTTGAGACACGTGCACAGACTGGGAAATACAGAACAGTCAAAATAGTTTAATTTTTCAATTAATGATAATCGTTTCTTCAGTTTACGCCATTTTGAATAGCAGACAACATTCACTAATCTACAGCTTTCGTAAAAGTGAAGTAACGTAAAATGAACAAACCGGGAATAACAGAACGGTTGAAATATTTTACTATACAATTTAACGGTAATTACTTATTTATTTTACGCCATTTCAGACATTAGGAAAAATCTGCACTAATCTACAACTTTCTTAAAAGCGAAGTAACGTAAAATGAACTTTCGAAAAGCCAGCTACACATATATATTGATAGATACGGATAAACTGATAAAGACAGAACGGTCAAAATAATTTCCTATATCAATTAATAGTAATTATTTCTTCACTTTATGTCATTTAGGAAAGATGGTGAAATTCTACTAATGTTGATCTTCTTAAAGGCGAAGTAGCGTATAATAATCTTTCGAAATGGGAGCATTTTGAATGTATCGATAGATATGGACAGACCGGGAAAAACAGGACGATTAAAATATTTTACTAGACAATTTAATATTAATTGATTCTTTGCTTTGCGCCATTTCGGATAGTATGAAAAACCTGTACGGGCCTAAAACCTTCGTAAAAGCGAAGTAACGTAAACTGAACAGACCCAAAAAAAAAAACAGAACTGTTAAAATATATTACGATACAATTTCATATTAATTTCTTCTTTGCTTTACGCCATTTCGGATAGTAAGGGGAATACAACACTAATCTACAACTTTCGTAAAAGGAAAGTAACATAAAATGAACAGACCAAAAAACAGAACTGTTAAAATATATTACGATACAATTTCATAGTAATTTCTTCTTTACTTTACGCCATTTCGGATAGTAGGGAAAAACTGCACTAACCTACAACTTTCGTAAAAAGGAAAGTAAACGTAAAATGAACTTTTGAAAAACCAGCTAGTCCTGTATATTGACAGATATGGACAAACCGATAATGGCAGAACGGTCAAAATAATCTCGTATATCAATTAATGGTAACTGCCTTTTCGATTTACGGCACTTCGGACAGCAGGGGATTTTCTTTTACAAATGTAGAAGTGATGTAAGCCTTCTAAATGCAAGCAGTTGTTGTCTTTCAATAGATATGGACAGAGCGAGAAAGTCATATATTGGAACTGACAAAGCTAGATATGAAAAGAACTTAACTGGTTGGTTGACAGGTACAAATAGATGTGAATAAATTTGACAGATATTCACGTGTTTTCTTGGATGAACGGCGAAGTAGACAGATTCGAAACAATGTAGATAGATTTGAAAAGACCTTGCCAGCGAGATTTAGATAGATAGGTGCAGAAAAAAACATAGATGGCTCGATAGTTATTTATTAAAATTTCCTTTGGCACGAGACCACATGATGATCGCACACCTTTTCAAAGATTCAAAGAAAGTATGAAAGAAAAATATTGAAAGAAAGAAGGAAGCATGGAAAAAAAATGAAAGAAAAGGGAATAAGTCATCAAGTTAGCATTCTTATTGTTAACTCCAGCTAGAACAGGCAACATGTTCTCATTCAGGTTGTCAAACATAATTTTTTTCATCCGGGAACACTCAAAATAACTCCCTAGAACAGTTAATAAAAATAATAAAAAACAGAACTGTTAAAAGATTTTACGATACAATTTGATAGTAATTTCTTCTTTACTTTACGCCATTTCGGATAGCAGGGGAAAACTGTAGTCAAAATTCTTTATTTTTGTCAATTAATGATAATCGTTTCTACAGTTTAATTCTTTATTTTTGTCAATTAATGATAATCGTTTCTACAGTTTAATTCTTTATTTTTGTCAATTAATGATAATCGTTTCTACAGTTTAATTCTTTATTTTTGTCAATTAATGATAATCGTTTCTACAGTTTAATTTTTTTATTTTTGTCAATTAATGATAATCGTTTCTACAGTTTATATTTTGTCAATTAATGATAATCGTTTCTACAGTTTAATTCTTTATTTTGTCAATTAATGATAATCGTTTCTACAGTTTAATTCTTTATTTTTGTCAATTAATGATAATCGTTTCTACAGTTTACGCCATTTCGGATAGCAGACAACATTCACTAATCTACAGCTTTCGTAAAAGTGAAGTAACGTAAAATGAACAGATCAGGGAAAACAACGGTTAAAATATTTTACTATACAATTTAATAGTAATCACTTCTTTACGCTTCAGAAAAAAAAACCTGCACTAATCAACAACTTTCGTAAAAGCGAACATAAAATGAACGTTCGAAAAGCGAGCTATACATATATATTGATAGATACGGATAAACTGATAAAGACAGAACGGTCAAAATAATTTCCTATATCAATTAATAGTAATTATTTCTTCACTTTATGTCATTTAGGAAAGATGGTGAAATTCTACTAATGCCGGTCTTCTTCATGGTGAAGTGCAAGCAATTCTACCGTATCGATAGATATGAACAGACCAGAAAAACCAGAACGGTTAAAATATTTTACTATACAATTTAATATTAATTGATTCTTTGCTTTACGTCATTTCGGATGGTAGAAAAAACCTGCACTAACCTAGAACTTTCGTAAATTGAAAGTAACGTAAAATGAACAGACCGGAAAACAGAACTATTAAAATATATTACGATAGAATTTAATAGTAACTGATTCTTTGCTTTACGCCATTTCGTATAGTAGGGAAAAACTGCATTAACCTACAACTTTCGTAAAAGCAAAGTAAACGTAAAATGAAGTTTCGAAAAGCGAACTATACCTATATATTGATAGATATGGAAAGGCCGATAATGACAGTAAAGTGTAGATGTCAAAATCAAGCAAGTATAGAAATTTGAATATGCGGGAACTTTTTTTTTATGGAACTCCATTACAGAATTGCAGTAAAATCCTATAGATTTAAGAAGTGAAACTGGAAACTCATGTGCCCCCGCTATAGGTACTCGACAAAATCCAAAGACGGATATGCAATGTGACAGGTCCTAATCTGGCATCTAGTCTACAGTCGCTTTCTAAGAGACGTGCCTTGGCTTCCTTCTGACCTCTTATTTGTCACGGCAACTGTTCCGACGAGTTGTTTTCTCTGGTTCCCAAACTGCATGAATTTAAGCGAGCTACTAGGTTGGCATCACGTTCCCACGCTTTCATTGTTGAAACAAGAGTAACCGTCTCTTCCACTTAAACAGCTTGTGGCGGACTTCACTACATTAATTTAACTTTAGATCAGGAAACAAAACTGACGTGAAAATGCTTAAGCAAAAGACACCATTACACATAAAATATGTATTTAACAAGATGTACAATATCAAATAAAGATGTGAAAGAAAGCATGCATTTAAGTAAGAAAAGGTTGAATAAAACAAGAGTTGTCTCTCTTTAACTATTATTTGTATTTCAAAGTTCACTGAAAGAAACTTTATGAGACTTTCTTGTAATAATTGTTCTCAGCAGATTTGCTGTGTATGTAAAAGTTATGTGAGTGTATAAGGAATGTTCAGCATGTGAGTGGTGATGTGAGTGAGACAGTTGGCGCATGGTTTCAACTGGATTCGTTTCACAGCTGAATCCTCACTAATTAGCTTAGACTATTTCTTGCTTATATAGGTAACCATAGGCTCCAAATCGCTGCGCGGGAAAAATTATTCTTCATGTGCAGACGATCTGGTCGGTTGGCATTGACTAATCAGCGAGCGAATTTTGGGGAGACTTAAGAAAGCTTCTGTGATCCGTTTCTCTCAAAAGTGCACAAAACTGACTACATAAAAATAGAGCGATTACAAAATTGTCGCATTGCTGCGATTTGTAAATTGTCTGTAATAACGTAGTAGTGATTTATTAACCAATGAATGCTTGGCGTTGTATGTAATTTCTAGTTGTGTATATATGTATGCATGTGCGATACAGATCGGTACAAGTTTCTTGTCTCGCATTTCCCGTCTGTGCATTTCCCTTCTTTTTTTTCTTGCTTCCCTGATAAGTATAATCATCAAATATTCAAATGTAATGTCAATCGACATCTTCTGATACTTTGATCTTGTTCCCCGTTCTTCTCTTTATCCTCTCCCCCAAACCGCTTCTTTACTCTTGTTCTGTACCACCTGTAACCCCCTTACGTGCTAGTGGCACTCCCACCTTGCTTGGGGTGAAATACTTAAAAAAAATAAAATAAAATAAAAGCGATCGTTCACTCATCAATGGTTCCTGTCGAAGGTGAAAACTGGTGTAACTGCTTGTTTTTTGTTTTTTTTTACTCTTACTGCTATTTCGTCCGAAATTATTGCATTCATTTTCGCATTTGCAGTCCATCTTTTCCTTTCCATTAGTTATATGTTAAATAGTTGTGTAAACTGAAGTCTGTAGCCTTGGCAGTGCAAAAAAGAACATTTTGACTTCAAAACCTGAGGTAAGGCAACAGGAAACCATTCTAATATATTGCTAAAGAACTGATGATAATTCATGCATAATAAAGAAAAGAAACAGTGAAGAGTCATGACTGCCTACGTTCTGAAAGTAGCTGGAAGGAAAAAAATACCTACTTGAGCAAGATAGTTATGGGAGAGTGATTCTGCACATGTGATTAGTTATGTACTTTTGATCTCCGTCACACATTGTGACATGCTAAAAACGATGCATATTTGCCAAGGTTTCCTGCGATGAGACAGAAAGAGAAAAAAAGAGAAAAAGAAAGATAGAGATAGAGATAGAAAGAAAAAGAGAAAGAGAGAGAAAGAAAGAGAGAGAGAGAGAGGGAAAGAGAGAGAGAGAGAGGGAAAGAAAAAATAAAGAGAGAGAGAGAGCAAAAAGAGAGAAGGAGAAAGATAAAGATAAAGAAACAGAGTGAAAGAGAGAGATAGAGAGAAAGAAATGAAGACAAAGAGAGAGTGAAAGAAAAAGAGATAGAGAAAGAAAAGGAGACAGAGAGAGAAAGATGAAGAAAGAAAAAGCGAGTAAAAGAAAAAGCGACAGAGAGAGAAAGAAAAAGAAAGAGGGGGAGAAAGGAAAGGCAGAAAGAAAGATCTAGAGAGAGGGAGATAGAGAGAAAAAGAAAAGTCAGACAAAGAAAAAACGACAGAGAAAGAAAGAAAAATAGAGAAAGAGAGGGAGAAAGAAAAGAGAGAAATAAAGATCTAGCGGGAGAGAAAGAAAAGAGTGAAAAAGAGATAGAAAGAGGGGAGAGAGAGAAAGAGAGAGAGAAAAAGAGAGAGAGAGAAAGAGAGGGCATAGTGTGTATAGTCGCTTTTCGTAATGGCCTTCGTGTTGAAAGAATGTAAACACCCTCAATTGAAATATGTACCTATCCCGTCTGCTGTACAGATAAAAGTTACACAACGCAAGTCAACTGAAAGATACCAATGACCACATAATTACATAGATAGATCAAACCTAAGAAATAATTGGCATGGAAAAAAAAAAACTTTCCAACTCTCTCATCATCATTAGAGCATTTTCGACTTGAACGCATACTGTAAATCAGCGTGATTTCTCATCGTCAGCAACTTTGTAAATATCTCTTATTAGTCCACTGTAAAACTGCCTCTTCTTTGCTAACTTACGAAAGTGCTACAGGTCTTCCAAGTTCTTTTATAGGGAAGGATGAAATTATACGGATATTTTTTTTGATGTCGTTGTTCAATTTTTATACAATGACTGTTCGATACATTCACTTCATATCAATATTAATTTTCTTCTGTGTATCTTAAAATATATACCTTTAGTCTGAATACGTTCATAGTGTTTCATTTTGAAACTCAAAACTGATATTCTGTCTGAGATTGTCCAATGTCTATACATGTTATTCTTCTGCTGATTAACTCAGTCATTAATATCAAGTCCTTCTTTGATTTTGGTTTCTTGAAGATAACAGTAGTGTTATAATTATCAGTTGGGCACCACGACGTGGTGTAATGGTTAGACAGCTTGTCTTGCTAGATCTATTACGACTGAGTAGTGAGTTCGATCCTCACTGGGTGCCCCATACTTTAGGCCTTATGCTATATCTAAGCCGGGCTTAGAAAATCCTTATAATTATCAACGTCCCGACCCAATAATTTCTGCTTTTGTTTTTTTCACGATTCGTCTAATTTTAAATTTACCGATGGTAAAATCTTCATATGTCTACAGATACAATTAACAAAGTTTGAAATAAGAAAATGTCATCTTTTAACGTCTATAAACCAAAATTGTCATTAATTGGTCTGATAAAAGAAGAATAAAGACGTTTCAGGCTTTCATTCAGAGACAAGTTTTCAAAAATGAGCGCTACAAAGTTTTACATACAGCTAATAAAAATGAAGACGGTGGAGACAGAAAATAAACAAGAAGAATAATAATATCGATATATATGGACAGAAACGAAGAAGAAGAAGAAGAAGAAGAAGAACAAGAACAAGAAGAAGAACAAGAAAAAGAAGAAGAAAATTATGTATAGATATAGACAGAGAAGAAGAATAAGAAGATATGGACAGAAAAGAAGAATATCAAAGAAGAAGAAGAAGAAGAAGAAGAAGAAGAATTATATCGATAGATATGGACAGAAAAGAAGAATATCGAAGAAGAAGAAGAAAAAGAAGAAGAAAAAAAGAAGAAGAAAAAAAGAAGAAGAATTATATCGATAGATATGGACAGAAAAGAAGAATATCGAAGAAAAAGAAGAAGAAGAAGAAGAAGAAGAAGAAGAAAAAAAAGAAGAAGAAGAAGAAGAATATTGCTCGATATAGACAGAATAAAATAATATAGAAGAAGAAAAAGAAGGATATTGAAAAATAAGGAGACAGAAGAAGAATGTCGAAGAAAAAGAAGAAGAAAAAAGAAGAATATTAATAGATATGGACAGGAAGAAGAATATTGAAGAAAAAGAAGAAAAGAAAAGAAGAAGAATATTGATATATATATATATATATATATATATATAATATATATATATGAAGAAAAAGAAGAAGAAGAAGAAGAAAAAGAAGAATATTAATAGATATGGACAGGGAAGAAGAATATTGAAGAAAAAGAAGAAAAAGAAAAGAAGAAGAATATTGATATATATATATATGGAAGAAGAAGAAGAAGAAGAAGAAGAAGAAGAAGAAGAAGAAGAAGAAGAAGAATATTAATAATATTAATAGATATGGACAGGGAAGAAGAATATTGAAGAAAAGGAAGAAAAGAAAAGAAGAAGAATATTGATATATATATATATATATATATATATATATATAAGAAGAAGAAGAAGAAGAAGAAGAAGAAAAGAAGAAGAATATTAATAGATATGGACAGGGAAGAAGAATATATTGAAGAAAAAAAGAAAGAAAAAGAAAAAAAGAAAGAAGAAGAATATATATATATATATATATGGAAGAAGAAGAAGAAGAAGAAGAAGAAGAAAAAAGAAGAATATTAATAGATATGGACAGGGAAGAAGAATATTGAAGAAAAAGAAGAAAAAGAAAAGAAGAAGAATATTGATATATATATATATATATATATGGAAGAAGAAGAAGAAGAAGAAGAAGAAGAAGAAGAAGAAGAAGAAGAAGAAGAAGATTCGACTTGAATTAAATATCTTTGAAAGTATGTGTTTTCTGTGACTTCAACCTCGGGGAGATGGGCTGACCAGTTTTGAATAGGAAGAATTTAAAGGTCATCGTAATACTTAGTTAGCCAATGAAACTTTAAAATAGACAGCAGCACCACAAGAAACCATTTGTCACGAAAAAGGAAATGAAAAGAAAGTTCAGCCTGGAATGGAAATAAATGCCATCAGCAAATCCAATTGAAGAGTGGAGCATTTTGATAATGCGACAAAGTTGTGGCTAAGAGCTACCAGATTACTTACAGAGAATTAAAACACTAATTTAACTAATTTAATATTTGCTTACATTAATCAGTCATCTCTTGTAAAATGCTATGATTTCCGAACGACTATGTAACGCCAGTAAACGATATGCAAGAACGACAAGAGAAATAACTGTTGGTCAACTATAGGAAAACAATGTTTGGCTGTATGCAGTAAGGACGGCCCAAGACGCGAGTTGCGAGATGCCAATGTCGAAATCAAGCAAGTGCAGAAATTTCAATATGTGGTTTGTTTGTTTTTTGTGTTTTTTTTGTGAAAACCCGTTACATAATTGTAAAAAATGCTATAAATTTAAGTATTGAAAGTGGAAACTCATTTTTTGTGCAAAACCGGCTCACAGAGAATATTTGATTTATTTTTGTGCTTTTTGTACGCTTCAAATTTGAATTTCTAAATTCGTATATTTTAACCAATCCATGACCTCATATGAAACGCGCTTTAGCCTTTGAATTTACAGAAAAATAATATTTCAAGGCTCACTCCAAAAAATAATCAACAATATTTTCCTCCCATACACGAATATTTAAAAATTGGGTAAATATTTTTTAATCAATAAACTTAAAAGTTATCTAACCTTCAAATTTTTGCAGCCTATGATTTTCTTATAGATATCATGATATTAAGTGAGTAAATTAGTTTTTGCACTTAACCTTTGACCAGAGTCGATTATTCGTTGTTAAACAAGCTAAAACTCTCAAATGTTAATTAATTACTCACATTTTCGCTTATTTATTCGAGTATACTATATTACAATATGACTTAAGGACATTGAGTTAAGTAATACAAAAATCAATCGAACCGAGTTACTTGGCTACGTTCTAACATACTGTTACAAGGAAATTACACACAGACTTAAAACTACGCAAATACGTGACACACTCATTGCAATATATAGTTGCATCCCGTTTTCTATAATAATGCAATTTCTTCGGTTACATTGTAAAGAAAGAAAGACAGAAAAGTATTTTTTGTGTAAAGTTGTTTCGTAAAGAATCTTTGTAATTCATTTGTTTCAATCTGAAAGAAAATTAATGCTCAATAATTGTTATGGCTCAGGTTCCTTGTACCTCGGTGATGGTCCAAGGTTAGAACCAATGAAAGAATAACACGAACACAGGTATGGAATACAAAGATATATTACAACAGAAATATAATACAAAGAAGTAGAAGTATTAGTAATGACTATCAGATTTGGTTAGAGTGAACTATGTTGTCTCCACAAGTATCACTATTCCAATGTCCTTACAATATGCTCTCAATTATCTTTCCTCGTTTTACAACATCCTCATACCTCTTGAGAGGCGCAGTATTATAATGTCAGGAATAGTTCATTATTATTATGGGCAAGTTCCCATAACAATAATAAAAGTTTATTTAAATTTGTAGAGATGTGTTGAAGATTGTTTATTTCTTCGTTTTATCCACGCATATCCCTCTACATGCACGACGGGAAATGCGACACGGAAATCCGAAGGCGCACAATGGAAGAAGGAAAAATGCCTTAAGTTAAAGAAAATATTGAAAAAAAAAAACAAGAAAAAATTGTTAGAAACAAAGAAAAGAGTTGTCACCTGTTATATAATATCAATCATCCAATACGGCAGTAAATACTGAAATTTTCCACGCACATGAAACGGAGATTTGAGGTAACAGAGATGCGGTTGTACAAATGGATGCTGAGAATACTATGTGAGCAACAAAGAATCTGTTATGGAACCTTATGGACTATTCCATACGTAATAAATACTGCGCCTCAAGAGGAAGCAGAGAGTTCAGTCCGAAGTCGGGCGACCGGCTGATCGGCTGATCGGTTGAACTCTCTGTCTTCGGGCGGGGAGGAACCCGAACAACGCTACGCCTAAGGGCGGAGTCTCTTTCGGGGAGGTAAACAGACCCTGAACCCGTTTATACGGGTTCAAAGGGTATACTTTTGGCCGAGCCCACGGGATCGGAGATCCCACGTTAAACCGGCCTTGTGCCACATGATGCCCTCGTTGTGGGTGACTAAATACCGTTCAGTCCGAAGTCGGGCGACCGGCTGACCGGCTGATCGGTTGAACTCTCTTCCTTCGGAAAGGGAGAAACCCGAACGAGGCTACGCCGAAGGGTGGAGTCACTTTCGGGGAGGTAAAAGTGCATATTTTTGGCCGAGCCCACGGGCTTGGAAATTCCACGGGCTCGGGGATCCCACGTTAAACCGGCCTCGTGGTGGGGTGACTATATATCGTTCAGTCTGAAGTCTGGAGTGAGGTCCGTCAGGAGTCTGTCAGACAGTCAGAGCGAGCGAGTCAGTCAGTCGAGTCAGAGGCAGTCCGAAACAGAGTCGCGTTCAGACAATTACTACTAAACCTGATTGTTCGTACTAACACTTTCTA